CACGGGTTTTCCCGGGTATTTTGGGGGAGATGTTTGGCCAGGGCCGTCTCGACAGGCAGCGGGAGCCCAGGGGCTAGATGGCTAATGCCTCCCGCTGCTCGGCGCCTGCTGCCAACCCGCGTCAGGTGTTTCTGAGCTGGGCGCCGGGGCCGCGCAGGCTCCGGCTGTTTCTGACTCTGAGTGTGCCTGGCTGGAGCGGGAGAGAGGGCAGGGAAGGATGCAAGAGGGTGATTCTGCATCCGGCTGGCTAAAGAGGCGAGAGGTGTCTCGGGAAGGGGAGCAAAGCACCAGCTTTTTAGCTTGTTCCCTGTTGCTTTGCTCTGTCCCGTTTCAGGTGAGGAGAGACACTCTGTCCTTAGAGAATGGAGGCAACTAGCTGGGAAAAATCACACCCGCAGAGCGGTCTCTTATTTCCAGTCCCAGCACCTTGCACCTTTTCTCCTCGTCCCAGTGCTGTGCTGTAACTGCTGTGTTGTAAGGCAGCGGAGCCCAGAAATGCCCAGCGTTCTCTGGAGCGTTTGAAGGAAGGAGCGCAAGAGAAGACAAAGATCAGCAACCTTCAAAAAAGCTGCTGCCGAAAGCCTTGGCCCCGCTCCAGCAGCCGGCCCTTGCTGAGGGCTGTGCCAGCCGGCACAGGTTTGCCCAGCTGTTTGGCCTCAGCGCAGACAGCAGTAAACCATGCTTCGTGCCAACGGCTGCACCTTCTTTACGACACGGAGCAACAACCTGCCATTGCTTCATACTTTTATACAGCCCCAAAATACAGACAAAAATGCTCTTCCACTTCCTCCTCTGTGAGGCAGGAAATGCAAGAAACAGCGTGGCTTTCTCTCCTGCCTTCGGTGCTGCTGGGGACATTACACAGAAGATGCGTGGATACTGCAAAGGTGGGGCGAGAGCTGAAACCAGCAACCTCAAGGAGGACCCGAAGTTTCCCAGCCCTAAGGAAGGTGAATCTCCGTTTTCATCGGTGAAAGGTGCTGCAGCGTGAACAAGGCCAGGGATAACTTTATCTCTGGGAAGAAGAGAACGAAAGCCAGCAACCAGCAGAGAGATAGTTCAGCCTGATGAGTCATAAGGGAAAGGACCTTAGCAGAACAACTTCAGGTGCTGGGCTGGGCCCAGGAAGGAGCATGGCCGCGTGGTTTCCTGGAAGTGAAGCTAGAGCTATGCGTGGGAAGAGTGTGCAGTCTCAGGGTGGGGTTCTCCACCACGTCCTGCAGAGCTGCCCTGAGAGCCAGACAGCTCTGCTGGACCGTGTTGGGGCTCCAGGGTGCCAGGGCACAGCTGGCTGGGGCCAGTGTAGGAAAGCCTGGGACACTGGATGGTTTTGGTGGCTTATTGTGGGTATCTGTGCGTTGCCTCCAAAAAGCACGTGCTAGAGCAGATGAGTTCTCGGAAAAGGTGTATGCGATAAAGTCTAGCTGCTAAAAGTTTACCCCTAAGATGTGAAGCTTAAAAGTTATTTCCATAGGGTGGGAGAGGTACAGAGTTTTCCTGGCCTTAGAGGTTTGTAGAGGCTCTGGTGGGACTGCAGTCCTAGGGTAGCACAGGCAGAGGAGGGGTTAATGGGAACTCATCCTTCGGGAGAGCAGTGCTCCCTCCCGCACAGGCTCTGCCCTGCTTCACCTCCACGCTTGCAGGTTCCACAAGCTGCATGTTGCTCCTGCAGCCTGGTGTTGTGCTGGAACTCGTGGAGCTGCTTTGTGGAGGCAAGAGGAACAAACCGGGATGGGTCCCTCTCATCCTCAGAGCATCAGCCACTGGGGAAACTGAGGCAGGGATTGCACCTGGCCAAGAGAACTGCTGTAATCATGGGAAGGATCACAGACTGCTCACAGCTTCTCAGCAGGGTAAGCAGCGCTTCCTTTGCCACAAAAATAAAGGCCTGGGATGAGATCGCTCCTGTCATGGGAAGGAAGGGAGCTGGGGGGCTGCTCCATGTGCTGAGGGGAAGGGAGGCAGCAGGACTGGCTGCAGTGAGGCTTCAGGTCTCGGGCGCTGGCCAGCCTGGCTCTCTGGATCTCTTGCCATTGGTAGCAGGGACACGGCTGTTTTGCCACTGCTGGCCTGGACCCGTTTCGCTGGTACCAAGAAATAACACCCCCCTTCGTCCAGCAGGCATGATGTGAAGAGGATGCAAAAGAGTGCTTTCATCTTTACCTTTTTTCACATCCGTCTGTGCCA